ATGGCTGGATAGCCATCTGTTGGGAGGGATCGGACGGTGCCCTCCTTTGTGTGCGGAAGAGGGTTTGACTGGATGCCCCCCTCTGGTGGATCTCTTCCAATTCTATGATGCACCTATCACATCTCTCTCTTTCATATCTAATATCTATTTCTTTCGCTTAATCATATCATATATCTGAGGCTATCTATTTATAGCTGGGTGGTCATCTGTCGGGAGGGATTGGATGGTGTCCTTCTTGGTGGTATTTGGAGGGAGGGGTCTCTTCCAACTCCAGGGTAGATAGATAGATAGTAAAGGTAAAGGTTTCCCCTTGACATTAAGTCTAGTGATGTCCAACTCTGGGGGATGGTGCTCATCTCCATTTCTAAGTCAAAGAGCCGGCATTTCCATCGACACCTCCAAGGTCATGTGGCCGGCATGACTGCATGGAATGCCATTACCTTCCCACCATAGCAGAACCTATTGCTCTACTCACATTTTCATGTTTTCAAACTACTACTTTGGCAGAAGCTGGGCCTAACAGTGGGAGCTCACCCCACTCCCTGGATTTGAACTGCCAACCTTTCAGTCAGCAAGTTCTCGATCTCAGCGGTTTAACCCGCTGTGTCACCGGGGGCTCCTAGATAGATTGTGTATGTGTGTATACATACACACATATTATAATAACATAAAATAATATATAATATATAAATAATTTAAAATAATACTAGATAGTATGTGTGTGTATATACACGCACACCATATATATATATAATATAATATATAAAGAATTTAAAATAATACTGGATAGGATGTGTGTGTGTGTATATATGTGTGTGTGTGTGTGTATACACCAGATATATATAAGTATAGATATAGATATAACATAAAATAATATGTAATATAATAATAATCTAAGATAATAATATAGAAATAACTTAAAATAAGACTAGATAGTATGTGTGTTACACACACAATATAGATATAGATATATAGATACCATAAAATAATATATAATATAATATAATAATCTATAAATAATTTAAAATAATACTAGAGAGTATGTCTGTGTGTGTATATATATATATATATACACACACACATACACACCATCTAAATAAATAAAAAAAATAATGTTTGTTTGTGGGATTAATGTAACTCAACAACCACTGGATGAATTGACATCAAATTTGGACACAGTACGTCTAACAGGCCAATTAGTAACCATCACTCATAAAAACACTGAAAAACGCAGCAGAAGAGACTTAAAAAGCCAAAAAACAAAAAATACTTTTGCATGTGCAAAACCGCATATATACACACAAACACACATATATACACATATACACAAACATATATACACACAAAACACATATACACAGACTGGGCCACAGCAACGCGTGACAGGGGACGGCTAGTGTGTGTGTGTGTATATATATAAATCATATATAAATAATTTAAAATAATAATATATGATAATAATAATCAGAATATTTCGAATAATAGTAATAATAATAATAATAATAATAATAATAATAATAATATCCTTTTCCTGTTTGGGTAGTGCTTTCCTCTTGAGAATAAGGAATCCGGCCCAGTCTCTCAATGGCCCAGGTGAGAGGAGGAGGAGGAGGAAGAAGAGGGGGGCCCCTTCCTCCCTGCCTGCCTGCCTTCCTGCTTGTTCCCACGCTGGGCAAACCCTGCCAGCTCAATCTGAGTCAGGGCCAAAATCCCAGGCTCCCTCTTTCTCTTGCCTCCTGAGAACGGAGCGGAACTTGGCTGCAGCCGCCGCCCTCCAATGGACTGGACGACCGGCCTGGGGTCAAGCAGGGACACCGTTCCCACGCCGCCAAAAGGATGGGGGCAACCCCCTTCTACTGGGAAAGGAAGGACACCACTCGACCCCTCCCGGCAGAGGGCCATAGATATGATATGGCGTTGTAGCTGCCTATCATCTCTCTCTCAATCATATGGAAGGGGCATCCTAAGGGCCATCCAGTCCAACCCCCCTGAGAGTCCAACCCTCCTGACAGAGGGCCATTGATAGGATACATGAGAGATAGATAGATGGATAGATGTATATTATAGAGTTTGAAAAGTCTCCCAAGGGCCACCCAATCCAAATGCCAAGCAGAAAGGCGCAATCAAAGCCCTCCCGACGTATGGTCATCTAGCCATAGATAGATGGCCGTAGATATTATTGGGATAGAGAGGATAGATACGGTATGTTATGAACCCCTAGAGCTAGAGGGAAGGCACCATCCAAGCCCTCCTGACAGAGGGCCATCGATATGATACATTTATTCATTTACCCCCCGAAGGGGACTCAGAGCGGCTTACAAGTAAAAAGTAAATACAATAAATTATATTATTACCATAGCATAATATTAATATAATATATTACTTTGTACCATAACATTATACTGTAATATTATTAGTAATATTACATTTAATATAAAATATATAATATCATATTATTATTATTATTAGTAGTAGTATTATATTGTATTACATTATAATATTATCAATATTATATGTATATACAATATATTATATTATATATTATATATATATCGATATATATCAAACTCCATAATATACATCTATCTATCTATCATGTATCCTATCAATGGCCCTCTGTCAGGAGGGTTGGACTGTCAGGGGGGTTGGACTGGATGGCCCTTAGGATGCCCCTTCCATATGATACATGATAGATGTATATGATAGAGTTTGAAAAATCTCCAAGGGTCACCCAATTCAAACGCCTTTGGCCAAGCAGAAATCAAAGCCCTCCCGACATATGATAGATGGCCATAGATATGATTGGGATAGAGAGGATAGATATAAGTAAAAATGTAATGTTTGTTTGTGGGATTGTCAAAAACCACTGGGCGAATTGACACCAAATTTGGACACAATACAACGATCAGGCCAACGAGTGACCATTACTCATAAAAACACTGAAAAGCACAGCAGAAGAGACTTAAAAAGCCAAGAAATAAAAAAATACATTACAACGCACGCACTAAACCACACATATACACAAATATTATTTATTTATATATAAATATATTAAATAAATAAATATACATAAATATATACATACACAAAGCACATATACACAGACTGGGCCACAGCAACGCGTGGCAGGGGACGGCTAGTATGTTATAAACCCCTAGAGGTGGAGGGAAGGCACCATCCAAGCCCTCCCGACAGAAGGCCATCCAGCCGGAGATATAATGGATAGTTAGATCAATGTTAGACAATCTCTGTCACTGTGATTGTGTTTATTGTAATGTTATATTGTTATTGTATTCATATGTTTTAATGTAATTATGTTTTTGATTTTATTTTGCTGTAATATGTTGTTTGGGCTTGGCCTCATGTAAGCCGCCCTGAGTCTCGGTTGGGGAGATGGTGGCGGGGTATAAATAAAGATTATTATTATTATGATAGATAGATAGATAGATAGATAGATAGATAGATAGATAGATGTGATTGGGAGATGAGATTTCCTAGAACCCTTTGTGCTTCCCACTTCCTCCTTGCTGCAGGTGAGAAAAGGGGGCCAGCCTTGCTCCCTTTGGCTGCCGTCAAGGGCCTGTCCCAGTTCCCACGGACCAAAGGCCGCGGGGCATGGATGCCTGCCTGCATGGGTGCCTCTCTCTCTCTTTCTCAAGGGACTTTCCCAGTCACCTGCAGGGCCACACCTGCCCAGGTAACGGGTGCAGAGAGGTCACGGGCTCAGGCCCAACCCTCCTTCCCTCCCTCTTTTGGCTGCGGGATTCTTTTCTCATCGGAACAAAGACATGATGTGTCATCCTCTTCTCTCCCTTCCTTGGGAAGACTTCCCAGGTAGGTGCAGAGTACAGCCGAGAGAGGGCTTCCCAGCAAGGAGCGCATGGGAGGCAGAAATCCCTTTGGCCATAAAGGAAAGCACCATCTGATCCCTCCCAACAGATGGCCATACAGGGAGATGGGCATCGGTCGGATATGATTAAGAGGAAGAGATATTAGATATATCACAATGTTCTAGAGTTGGAAGAGACCCCAAAGGCCATCCAGTCCAACCCCCCTCTGCCATAAAAGGAAGACACCATCAAAGCCTTCCTGACAGATGAATAATAATAATAATAATAATAATAATAATAATAATAATAATAATGAAGCTTTATTTGTACCCCGCTACCATCTCCCAAAGGGACTCAATGCGGCTTACATGAGGCCGAGCCCAAAAACAACAATACAAGCATAAGTTCCCGGTGCTCAAACCTAAGGACTTTGAACAGCTTTGGGACTTGTCAGACTTATTGATTGAGCTTCAGAGGTCACCTCTGAGGATGCTTGCCATAGATGCAGGCGAAACGTCAGGAGAAATGCCTCTAGAACATGGCCATATAGCCTGAAAAAACCCACAAGAACTGAGTGATTCCAGCCATGAAAGCCTTCGACAATACAATAACGATAATAATTATCCTTATTCAGATGCTCAATAATAATAATAATAATAATTATTATTATTATTATTATTATTATTATTATTATTATCCTTTACTTATTTAGCCACTCAGTGCTGTAAGAAATAAAAACTATTATTATTATTTTATTTTATTTTTTCCGTGTCAGGAGTGACTTGAGAAACTACAAGTTGCTTCTGATGTGAGAGAATTGGCTGTCTGCAAGGATGTTGCCCAGGGGACATTGCTCGGATGTTTTGATGTTTTATCATCCTTGTGGGAGGCTTCTCTTATTTGTCCGCATGGGGAGCTGGTGCTGACGGGGGGAGCTCATCCACGTTCTCCCCGGATTCGAACCTCCAACCTGCCGGTCTTCAGTCCTGCTGGCACAAGTGTGTAACCCATTGCCCCACTGGGGGCTCCAAATAATAATAATAATAATAATAATAATAATAATAATAATAATAATAATAATAGATTTTTTGGGCCAAGAGGGGATTCGAACCTAGGTTTCCATAACTGAAATTATAAACATCCTTCTTGCTTTTCCCCTTTTCTGCCCAGGCCTGCAACTGTAACCGATACCTGAAGGTCTCCAAGGAAACGATGGCACACCTGGTGAAGGTGAGAGGTCACCCGACAGGTGAGGAAGGGGCTGCCCCGGAGAGCAGCCCCCCATCCGCCAAAGACGCAGGTGAGGAGTCAGGAGGGACGGGCCCTATGGAGCCTCATACACAAGGCCCTGTTAGATAATGGGACGGTGATGAGGATGATGATAACAAATAACAACAACAACAACAACAAAAATAGTATCCAGCTTTGTCTCCCATTTGGATTCTGTCCATTTTTGGTGCCCCTCCATTGCATGGCTGCAAGGCCTCAAAACTGCTCCCTTAGCGTTCTTTCTTATTCTCTTTCTTTTTTTCCTTTTCTTCCCTTTTCCTTCCTCCTTCCCTTCTTCCCTTCCTATTTCCTCCTCCCTCCCTTCTTATTCCCTCCTTCCTTACTCATTTCATTTTCATTCACTCCCCCCTTTCTTACCTGTCTCCTCCTTCCTTCCTTCCCTTACACCTTTTTGTCCTTCCTTCCTTCCTCCTTCCCTCTTCCTCCTTCCCTTTTGTCCTTCCTTCTTCTCTCTTTCCTCCCTCTCTCCCTTCCCTCCATTCCCTTCCACCTTTTCATCCTTCCTTCTCTCATTCCTTCCTCCTTACTTCTCTCTTTCTCCTTCCGTCCTTCTCTTCCACCCTTTCATTCTTCTTCTTTTCCTCTCCCCTCTCTCCCCCTCCTTTCTTCCCTTCTCTTCCTCCTTCCTTCTTTCTTCCTTCCCTCCTCCTTTCTCCTTACTTCCCTTCCTCTCCCTCCCTTCCCTCTTCCCTCCCTTCCTTCTCTTCCTCACTTCATTTCTTCCTTCCCTCTTTCCTCCCTCCCTCCTTCTCTCTCTCCCTCTTTCTCCCTCCCTCCTTCCTTCCTATCTTCTCTCCCTCTTTCTCCTTCCTTTCCTCCCTCCCTTCCTTCTCTTCCTCACTTCATTTCTTCCTTCCCTCTTTCCTCCCTCCCTTCTTCCCTCTCTCCCTCTTTCTCCTTTCATACTTCCTTTCTGCCCTCCCTGCCTCTTTCCTCCCTCCCTCCCTCCCTCTTTCTCCTTCCCTCCTTCCTTCCCTCCCTCCCTTCCTTCCCTCCCTCCCGCCACCCTCCTTCCCTCTCTCCCTCTTTCTCCTTCCTTCTCTTCCTCCTTCCCTTCCTCCTTTTCATTCTTCCTTCCATCGCCAGGCAGCCAGTCCTCTTAGTAGGGGGTGCAAGCATGCGTCCCCCAAGTTTGCCCCTGCTTGCTCTAGACTGCCTCTGGGATTCCTTGGTGGTTTCCCATCCAGACCCTGCTCAGCTTCCAGGATTGGTGCCTTGGTCAGTTTGTGCCCATATTCCTAAAGTAAAGGTCTCACGGGGAAAGAAAAGGGGGGCTTCTTTCTTTCTTTCTTTCTCTCTCTTTCTTTCTTTCTTTCTGGGGGACAAGGACTATTTCAAGTGGGCCAGCAGCTGACCTTTGCTTTGCTTCTTCCATTATTCCCAGAGGTCCCCACAGAAGGGGGCTTAGATTTCTTTCTTTCTGTCTGTCTTTCTTTCTTCCTTTCTTTCTGGAGGGAAAAAGAAGCAGCGCCAAGCCTTTCTCGCACCCGGTTCCCAGCCCCTTTTCTTGCGAGGAGAAACCAGTTGGACCAGTTGAGTCAGTCTGGTCTGCAGAAGGGAAGGCAGGAGAAGCTGTTTTGCAAAAGGGAAGGCAGGAAGAAGAAAGCCAAAAGGGGGAACGAACAAACGGGGAGGATGAAAAAAGGAGGAACGACAAAATAATATTCTAGATACTTCACAGACACCTTCTCAGCAAATCAGGGCCAACCTCTTGGAGAAAGAAAGAAAGAAAGAAAGAAAGAAAGAAAGAAGAGGGAGGAAGTTGAGGGAGGAAATAAGAAAGAAAGAAAATGAGAAAGAAAAGAAGGAAGGAAATGAGAGAGAGAAAACAGGGAAGCAAGGAAATAAGGAAGGAAGAAGAAAACAAGGAAAGAAAAAAGCAAAGAAGAAAGGAGATAAGGAGGGAAGAAAATAAGGAAAGAAGGAAGGAAAAAAGAGAGGAAGGGAAGAAAAGAAGAGAGAAGGAACGAAGAAAATGAAGGGAGGAAAAAATAAGAAAGAAGGGAGGAAGAGGGGAAAGAAAGAAGGAAGGAAAAGGAAGAAGAGAATGAAGAAAAAGAAGAGAAAGAAGGAAGGGAAGAAATGAAGAAAAGAAGAGGAAGGAAGGAAGAAAGAAGGAAATGAGAGAAAAATCAGGGAAGCAAGAAAATAAGGAAAGAAGAAGAGAAGGGAGGAGGGAAGGAGAAATAAGGAAAGGAAGAAAGGGAAAAAAAGGAAGGAGAAGGAAGATAAGAAGGAAGGAAGGGAAAAAAGAGATGAAAGGAAGAGAAGAGAGGAAGAAAAAAAGAGGAGGAAGAAAGAAGAAGGAAAAAGAAGGAAGAGGAGGAAGGAAAAGGGAGAAAAGAAGAGAAGAAGGAACAAAGAAAAGAAGGAAGGAAATGAGAGAGAAAAATCAGGGAAGCATGAAAATAAGGAAAGGAAAAGAAAGAAGGGAGGAGGGAAGGGGGAAATAAGGGTGGAAGGAAAAGGAAGAAAGGGGAAAAAAGAAGGAAGGGAGATAATAAAGGAAGAAAATAAGAAAGGAAGGAAGGGAAAAAAGAGATGAAAAGAAGAAAGGAAGAGAGAAGGAAGGAAGAAAAGGAAGGGAGGAAGAAAATAAGAAAGAAGGAAGGAGGAAAGAAAGCAGAGGAAGAAAGAAAGAAGGAAAAATGAGAGAAAGGAAAGAAGAGAAGGAAAGAAGAAAAAGAAAGAAAAGAAGGAAGGAAATGAGCGAGAAAAATCAGGGAAGCAAGAAAATAATCATAGAATCATAGAATCAAAGAGTTGGAAGAGACCTCATGGGCCATCCAGTCCAACCCCCTGCCAAAAAGCAGGAATATTGCATTCAAATCACCCCTGACAGATGGCCATCCAGCCTCTGCTTAAAAGTTTCCAAAGAAGGAGCCTCCACCACACTCCGGGGCAGAGAGTTCCACTGCTGAACGGCTCTCACAGTCAGGAAGTTCTTCCTCATGTTCAGATGGAATCTCCTCTCTTGTAGTTTGAAGCCATTGTTCCATTGTGTCCTAGTCTCCAAGGAAGCAGAAAACAAGCTTGCTCCCTCCTCCCTGTGGCTTCCTCTCACATCATTATACATGGCTATCATATCTCCTCTCAGTCTTCTCTTCTTCAGGCTAAACATGCCCAGCTCCTTAAGCCGCTCCTCATAGGGCTTGTTCTCCAGACCCTTGATCATTTTAGTCGCCCTCCTCTGGACACATTCCAGATTGTCAATATCTCTCTTGAATTGTGGTGCCCAGAATTGGACACAATATTCCAGATGTGGTCTAACCAAAGCAGAATAGAGGGGTAGCATTACTTCCTTAGATCTAGACACTATGTTCCTACTTGATGCAGGCCAAAATCCCATTGGCTTTTTTTGCCGCCACATCACATTGTTGGCTCATGTTTAACTTGTTGTCCACGAGGACTCCAAGATCTTTTTCACACCTACTGCTCTCGAGCCAGGCGTCCCCATTCTGTATCTTTGCATTTCATTTTTTCTGCCAAAGTGGAGTATCTTACATTTGTCACTGTTGAACTTCATTTTGTTAGTTTTGGCCCATCTCTCTAATCTGTCAAGATCGTTTTGAATTCTGCTCCTGTCCTCTGGAGTATTGGCTATCCCTCTCAATTTGGTGTCATCTGCAAACTTGATGATCATGCCTTCTAGCCTTCATCTAAGTCATTAATAAAGAAGTTGAACAGGACCGGGCCCAGGACAGAACCCTGCGGCACTCCACTTGTCACTTCTTTCCAAGATGAAGAGGAAGCATTAGTGAGCACTCTCTGTGTTCGTCCACTTAACCAATTACAGATCCACCCCACCGTAGTTTTGCCTAGCCCACATTGGACTAGTTTCCTTGCCAGAAGGTCATGGGGGACCTTGTCGAAGGCCTTACTGAAATCCAGGTACGCTACATCCACGGCATTCCACGCATCTACCCAGCTTGTAACTCTATCGAAAAAAGAGATCAGATTAGTCTGGCATGACTTGTTTTTGATAAATCCATGTTGACTATTAGCGATGACTGCATTTGTTTCTAAGTGTTTGCAGACGCTTCCTTAACAATCTTTTCCAGAATCTTGCCCGGTATCGACGTGAGGCTGACCGGACGGTAGTTGTTTGGGTCATCCTTTTTTCCCTTCTTGAAGATTGGGACCACATTGGCCCTCCTCCAATCTGCTGGAACTTCTCCCGTTCTCCAAGAACTCTCAAAGATGGTTGCCAATGGTTCCGAAATGACTTCCGCTAGTTCCATCAATACTCTGGGGTGTAGTTGATCTGGCCCTGGGGACTTGAACTCATTAAGAGCGGCCAGGTATTCCTGGACGACTTCTTTCCCAATTTGGGGTTGGATGTCCTCCAATCCCTCATCCACTCCATCTTGCTGAGGTTGAAGACTCTCTTTTTTGTGAGAAGACCGAGGCAAAGAAGGCATTAAGTAGTTCTGCCTTTTCCCTATCCCCTGTCAGCATTGCCCCATCTTCTCCTCGAAGAGGTCCTATCGCCTCCTTGTTTTTCCTTTTTCTACTGACATAAGAATAGAAGCCCTTTTTATTGTTTTTAATGTCCCTGGCAAGTCTGAGCTCGTTTTTTGCTTTAGCCTTGCGGACCTTTTCCCTACAGGTCTTGGCTATTTGTTTGAATTCTTCTTTGGTGATTTCTCCCTTTTTCCACTTCTTGTGCATGTCTCTTTTGTGTCTTAGCACAGTTAGAAGTTCTTTGGACATCCATTCTGGCTTCTTTGAACTTGTCCTATTTTTTCTCTTTGTTGGCACGGTTTGCAATTGCACCTTGAGTATTTCACTCTTGAGAAATTCCCATCCATCCGTAACTCCCTTGTCTTTTAGTATCTGTGTCCACAAAATGCTGCTCAGGAAATAAAGAAGGAAGGAAGGGAAAAAAGATGAAAGGAAGAGAGAAGGCGGGAAGAAAAGGAAGGGAGGAAGAAAATAAGAAAGAAGGAAGAATGGAAGAAATAAGAGAAAGAAGGAAAGAAGGAAGGAAGGAAGAAAAGAATGAAGGAAATGGGAGAGAAAAATCAGGGAAGCAAGAAAATAAGGAAAGAAGGAAGGATGGAAGGGGGGAAAAGAAGGAAGGAGGGAAGAAAGAAAATACGAAAGGGAGGAAAGAAAAAAATAAAAAGGGAAAAGGGAAAAAGAAGAGAGAAGGAAGGGTGGAAGGATATAAAGAAGAGAAGGAAAGAAAGAAAGACAGAAAGATAGAAGGGGGAAATATAGAAAAGGAAGGAAGGCCTCTGGGTGTGGTAGTCTAACAAGAAGGACCTTCCCCAAGCACAAAGGGACCACCAAGGGCTTCCTTTAGTCTCTGTTTCAGCCTCGCAGATCCTCAGGAGACCCTATGGAATGGGCTCCAAGGAGGCCTCCTTGGCTCAGGCTGGCCTGGAGGAGCCCCACTCCCTTTTCTCAAAGGGCCGCTTTCTCAAGCCCATAACTCTCCCTTATCAGGCAGATATCTCCCAAGGAGAAGGCTCTCAGGGACCTTTGGACTCCCCCCTCCCTTCTGGGGCCTGGGTTTGAAAGGCGGCAAAATGTTATCCTTCTTCTTCTCAACTCTCAGTAGGGTGCAGTGTCAGTAGAATCATAAATAATAACGGATGGGACCATATGGGGCATCTAGTCCAACCCCCTGAAATTGCAAGAAAAGCACCCCCGACAGATGGCCTTTGGACCTCTTCCTCGTCATGGATACCACTAAGTTGCCTTTAATGCCCTTCTCTATGTGGCAAAGGCTTGGGAAGACGGAATCAGGAGGTCGTGGGAGCTCTCCAGGTTTAATAATAATAATAATAATAATAATAATAATAATAATAATAATAACGACACGATATGAGGATTTAAAGATCAAACTGCAAAGACTGTGGCACAAGCCAGTCAAGGTGGTCCCAGTGGTGATCGGCACACTGGGTGCAGTGCCCAAAGACCTTGGCCCGCACTTAAAAACAATCGGCGCTGACAAAATTACCAGCTGCAAAAGGCCACCTTATGGGATCTGCAAGCATTATTCGCCAATACATCACACAGTTCTAGACACTTGGGAAGTGATCCAATTCAACAGCCAGCAGAGTGATCTTGTCTGCTATGGACTCATCTTATTGTGTTTCAAATAATAATAATAATAATAATAATAATAATACCACTTATTGAAGGCTTGAGTGGCCCTATAACCAGGTTTCAGCCTTTTCCTAATAATAATATAATAATAATAATAACCACCTATTGAAGGGATGAATGGCCCTATAACCAGGATTTGCTTTTTCATAATAATAATAATAATAATAATAATAATAATAATAATAATAATAATAACAACAACAACAACAACAACCTATTGAAGGTACGAGTGTCTTATAATAATGCCATATTATTACTAGTATTCCAATTTGGACATATGAGGTATTCACGCCAAGTTTGGTCCAGAGCCTTGTTTGGGTTCATAATGCGCTCTGGGTGTAGGTGTACTACAACTCCTCTAAATCCCTCCAAAGATGTTTTGTTGGTCATGTAGGTTCTCTGTGACAACTTAGTTCCTGGTCCATCGTTGGTGGAGTTCAGAGTGCTCTTAGATTGCAGGTGAAGTATACATCCCATACAGCTGTTGTAACAGCTGTAAAGCAAGATGAATTCTCCCCAAACCTCTCTAGTATGTTCAGTTTTTGATCCATTCCTCTGTTTGTTGTGTGCCATAGCAAAGAAAAGGAAGGGGTTAAGGGAGAGGCAGTGGGCGGGGTCATGCAAATTGCACACCAATGGAGAGAGTCAGAAACACTGGGATGCCTGTGATGGAGGAAACATGTAAAATCTAGGATAAAATGGTCCCCATAGGAAAGCCTTCACTTGGCTGGTGGGCAGTGTGGTGTTTGTGGAGTACATTGGCAGGACTCTTGGACATGTTCATGGTGCTCGCTATAACCTGCAGTGTCATTGGAGGGAAGGCTTTGATGGGAGACTACTGGGAGCAATAGCTGTGTGTGAAGGCAGGAGCTTGTCTGTGGACACCCCAGGCACACACACATACATATTTTCACTTTTATTATGTGTATACATAGACAGACAGACAGATAGATAGTATGTGTATAGATCATTATTATTATTAGTAGTCATTCCGCACTTTTTCTCTCTAAAAATAGACTAGAAGTGGCTTTAGAGATGTATCTATGGGGGGAAAAGTATGTCTTAGACTAGAAGAAATAGGGGAAGAAGAAGCCAGTAACGGTGGTCCCAGTGGTGATCGGCACACTGGGTGCAATGCCTAAGACCTTGGCTTGCACTTAAAAGCAATCGGTTCTGACAAAATTACCATCTGTCAGCAGCAAAAGGCCACCCTGCTTGGATCTGCACACATTATTCACCGGTACATTACATAGTCTTAGATGCTTGGGAAGTAGAAGTAGAAGAACTAGCATAATAATAATAATAATAATAATAATAATAATAATAATAATAAGCCAGTCATGGTGGTCCCAGTGGTGATCGGCACACTGGGTAAAGTGCCTAAAGACCTTGGCCTGCACTTAAAAACAATCAGGGCTGACAAAATTACCATCTGTCAGCGGCAAAAGGCCACCCTACTTGGATCTGCACGCATTGTCCGCCGATACTTCACACAGTCCTAGAGACTTGGAAGTGTCTGATGTGTGATTAAATAAAACAACCAGCATGGGAATCTTGTATGCTGTGAACTAATCTTGTTGTGTATCAAATTATTATTATTATTATTATTATTATTATTATTATTATTATTATTATTATTTGTTACCCACCTATCCTCAAAGTGGGTAACAAACACCATGAAGATACATGTAATAACAGATACATATTAAAAACAGTTGTCTCTGTTAAAGTGGCATCAAACTGGATTAATTCCACAGTGCAGACTTGCCCTAAATAGCTTTTCTAGAAAAGGGGGATTATCCCAAAAGGCAGAGGTTCTTTTGTTTATTCAGACCCAAAGGGATGAAAGCCTGCATCTTGTTTTTTTTCAAAATGTATCTAAGTGGCAAAAGGGATATATATCTGGTTTAGTTCCTCTTTAGGACTTATTTTTAGTCCCCTCGGTCAAACAAAGGCAGGATACAAAGGGAATAGAAAGGCAAAAATCTTGAAAGAGCTTTGCGTCAAAGCCGATGGGAAGGAAGGCCGCCGGGTTCAGTGTTTTTTGGGTCCCTGATGCCGTCCTTTGTGTTGCTTCTTCCTAGGCAGAGCCATGGAGGGTCGTGGGGAAGGCCTCCTCCAAGCACCGGACTTGGGCCCTGGAGCGTGGGGTCCGCAACTGCCCAATGGGGTCCCCCTACAGATCGAGGCCCTTCCAGCTGGAGTGCTGACCCAGGAGGAGCTGTCCTGCTTCTACTGCTGCAAGTCCTGCGGGAAGGTCTTCTGGGAAGGGTCCCACTTCAGGAGGGCCGTCTCCCGGCTCAGGGGGTCCCTGGACCTCCCCGAAGGCGGAGGCAGCCTCTACGGGGCCTCAGTCTGACGTCGGAGGCAAAGAGAGAGCAGCTGTGGACACTTTGAGGGGCTTCCTCGCCCAGGAGCCATGTGGAACCTGATAAAGCTTGAGGAGGAGGATGGAAAGAGACTGAAGGGGCATTTTAGCGTGGGTTTTGGGGGACAAATGTGAGAATGGATAACATTTGGGGGAAGAGAGAGACAAAGAGTTCCTTTGGGGTGGGTTTCGGGGGGGGGGGTCTTCCTTGCCCAGGATGCCTATGTGAACTTATAAAGCTTGTTAGATGGCAAAGAGAGAGATATTGGTGGCATTTTGGTGTGGGTTTCAAGAGACTTCCTGGCCCAGGATTAACATGGGAACTGATATGCTTCAGGAAGAAGAGAGAGATTGAGGGTCATTTTGGGGTGGGTTTTTGGGGGCAAATATGAGACCTGATAACATTTGGGTGCACTAAGAAACCGAGAGTTCCTTTGGGTTGAGTTTCGGGGGGTCTTCCTTGCCCAGGGTGCATATGGGAACTGATAAACCTTGTTAGAGAGGTATTGGGGTCATTTTGGGGTGGGTTTTGGGGGGCTAATGTGAGAACTGATAACATTTGGGTGCAGTGAGAGACCGAGAGTTCCTTTGGGATGGGTTTTGGGGTCTTCCTTGCCCAGGGTGCATATGAGAATGGATAAAGTTTGAGGAGGAAGAAGGAGAGAGAGATTGCAGGCATATTTGAATGGTTTTTTGGGGGGAGCTTTCTTGCCCAGAATGCATATGCAAACTGATAAAGCTTGTTAGATGGCAAAGACAGAGATACTGGTGGCATTTTGGGGTGGGTTTTGAGGGACTTCCTGGCCCAGGATGAACATGGGAACTGATAAGCTTCAGGAAGAAGAGAGTGATTGGGGGTCATTTTGGGGTGGTTTTGGGGGGCTAATGTGAGAACTGACAACATTTGGGGCAAGAGAGAGACAGAGAGTTCCTTTAGGGTGGGTTTTGGGATTTTTCTTGCCCAGGATGCATATAGGAACTGTTAAATCTTGTTAGATGGCAAAGAGAGCAATCGGAGCCATTTTGGGTTGGGTTTCGAGGGGCTTCCTTGCCCAGGATGCACATGGGAACTGATAAAGCTTCAGGAGGAAGAAGAAGAGAGCGTCTGAGGCTCATTTTGGAGTGGATTTTGGGGGAGGAATGTGAGAACTAATAACATTTGGGGCAAAAGAGAGACAAACCCTTTGTGGTGGGTTTCGGGGGTCTTCCCTGTCTAGGATATATATGGGAACTGATAAAGCTTCAGAGGGAAGAAAGAGAAGGAATTTGGAGGCATTTCTGGATGTTTTGGGGGGGTCTTCATTGTCCAGGATACATAGGGGAACTGATAAAGCTCCAGAAGGAAGAATGAGAAAGAATGAGCGGGGTAGATGTGGGGCAAATGTGAGAATGGATAACATTTGGGGGGAAGAGAGAGACTTGTTTATTGTATAACAACATTGAATGTTTGCCGTATATGTGTTCTGTAATCCGCCCCAAGTCCCTTCAGGGAGATAGAGCGGAATATAAATAAAGTATGTTATTATATTATGAGAGTTCTTCTAGGGTGGCCTTCGGGGGGCTTCTGTGCTTGAGAGAAATGGGAGAACAGATGAGGCTTGAGGAAGAAGAAAGCTTGAGAGTCATTGCGGGGTGGGTTTGGGGGGGCATTCAATGGTGCCCGTCTGTGATACTTTTTCTAATGGTGAGAACTGAGTATTTGTATGGATATACAGTGTGCGTCACCATACACACACACACACACACATATGGATTTTTAAAAAAAGATCCTATAGAAAAGTGATCTGAAGTAATAGAGAATGTAGAGCGATGATAAATAATAATGCCAAAGGTCATTTTGGGAAGGAGCAAGATGGCTCTTGTGTTGGGAGAAAGGCAGGAATAATAATAATAATAATAATAATAATAATAATAATAATAATAATAATAATAATAATTATTATTATTATTATTATTATTATTATTATTATATATTATTATTATTATTATTATTATGGGCCCAAATAAGATGCGTTCCAAATAATAAGGCAGTGTATTATTGGGCAGTGTATGGAGCCTTTTTTTTCATTAGGGTTTGGCCACTAATGCCCCTTTGATCATATTTTTGATCTATAATATAATTAGAATGCCTTTGAAATGCTAAACCTAATCAATACATTATATATAGGGGGGATACCTTTGAAATGCCAAACATGATCAAAATATAATAGAGAGAGAGAGGGGGAGAAGGAATACCTCTGAAATGCCAAAAATATGACCAACTAGCCATCCCCTTCCACACATTGCTGTGCCCCAGTCTGTGTTTATGTATTTTGTGTGTGTATATATGTGTATATGTGTTGTATATATGTGTATATGTGTGTTTGCATGTATATATGTGTGTGTGTGGTTTTGTGCATGTGTTGTAATTTATTTTTAATTTTTTGTTTTTAAGTCTCTTCTGCTGTGTTTTTCAGTGTTTTTATGAGTGATGGTCACTCGTTGGCCTGAGAGGTGTCTTGTGTCCAAATTTGGTGTCAATTTCTCTAGTTGTTTTTGAGTTATGTTAATCGCACAAACAAACATTATATTTTTATTTATATAGATAAATATGATCTACTTAGATAACTTAGAAATGCCGAATATTCTCTCTCTCTCTCTGTCTGTCTGTCTGTCTGTCTCTCTTTGTAAATAATATAATTGAAATGCCAAATGTGATCGATACATATTATCTATGTATCCACTGGGGTGGTCTATTAGTATGAGTAAATAGTAAGCGGTGGTCTATTAATATGAGTAGGTAAAGTAAAGGATACTCTTAGTATGAGTAAATAGTAAGGGGCGATCTATTAGTATGAGAAGGTAGTAAGCAAGGGATGGTCTATTAGTATGAATAAGTAGTAAGGGATGGTCTATTAGGAAGTAAGGGGTGGTGTATTAGTATGAGTAAGTAGTAAGTAAGGGATGGTTTATTACTATGAGAAAGTAGCAAGGGATGTTCTATTAGTATGAGTGTAGTAAGTAAGGGATGTTCTATTAGCATGAGTGTAGGTCTATTAGTATGAGTGTAGTAAGGAATGGTCTATCTGTATGAGTAAGTAGTAAGTAAGGGATGGTCTATTAGTAGGAATAAGTAGTAAGGGGTGGTCTATTAGTATGAGAAGGTAGTAAGTAAGGGATGGTCTATTAGTATGGGTAAATAGTAAGGTATGGTCTATTAGTATTAAAAGGTAGTAAGGGGTGGTCTATTAGTATGAATAAGTAGTAAGGGGTAGTCTATTAGTATGAGTAAATAGTAAGGGGTGGTAAGTAGTAAGGGGTAGTAAGGGGTGGTAAATAGTAATGGGTAGTAAGTAAGGGATGGTTTATTAGGAAGTAAAGGGTGGTCTATTATAATGAGTAAGTAGTAAGTAAGGGATGGTTTATTACTATGAGAAAGTAGCAAGGGATGTTCCATTAGTATGAATACGTAGTAAGAGGTGGTCTATTGGTATGAGTAAATAGTAAGGGGTGTTCTATTAGTATGAGAAGGTAGTAAGTAAAGGGTGGCATATTAGTATGAATAAGTAGCAAGGGGTGGTCTATTAGTATGAATAAATAGTAAGGGGTGGTCTTTTAGTATGAGAAGGTAGTAAGTAAGGGATGGTCTTTTAGTATGAGAAGGTAGTAAGTAAGGGATGGTCTATTAGTATGAATAAGTAATAAGAGATGGTCTATTAGTATGAGTAGGTAGGAAGTAAGGGTTGGTCTATTAGTATAAATAAATAGTAATATGTGACGGTAGTAAGTAAGGGATGAGCTATTAGTATGAGTAAGAAATAAGGGATGTTCTATTAGTATGAGTGTAGTAAGGGATGGTCTATCCATATGAGTAAGTAGTAAGTAAGGGATGGTCTATTAGTATGAATAAATAGTAAGGGGTGGTCTATTAATATGTGACGGTAGTAAGTATGGGATGTGGTATTAGTATGAGTAAGAAGGGATGTTCCATTAGTATGAGTGTAGTAAGGGTTGGTCCATTAGTATGAGTGTAGTAAGGAATGGTCTATCCGTATGAGTAAGTAGTAAGTAAGGGATGGTCTATTAGTATGAGTAAATACCAAGAGGTGCTCTATTAGTATGAGTAAATAGTAAGGGGTGCTCTATTAGTATGAGAAGGTAGTAAATAAGGGATGTTCTATTAGTATGTAATAAGTAAGGGAGTAAGTAAGGGATGGTCTATTAGTATGAGTATCTAGTAAGTAAAGGATGGTCTATAGTATGTAGTAAGTAAGGGATGGTCTACTGAGCAAGAGGCTGGGTTTGAAAAGCTAACCATGGGTGCCGGTTAACTGAGAGCCTGCGGGAAGTTTGGAAAAAGTTGGCAGGAGTTTGCAAAAATTGGCAGAAGTTTGCAAAAGTTTGAGAAAGTTGGCAAAAGTTTGCAACAAGTTTTGCTGCAGGGTTGTTGCTTCCTCCTCCGATTGCCCCCCCTCCCTTCGGGAAAAAGAATACAAAGCAGCTCAAAGGGAGGGAGGGAGGGAGGGGGGGGCCTCGGAGCGCCTCTCTCTCTCTCTCTCGCTCCCCCTCCCTCCCCGCCCCTCCCTCCCTTTGCGCTCCGCCGCTGGGAAAAAAGGCTCGAGACTTTCCCACGCTCCTCGACACATGCTAATGAGGCCGCCGCCGGCCACGCCCCCGGCGCTCCCTCCTCTAAGCCACGCCCCCTCACTGCCTTCCTTTTCAGGGAGATGAATGGGAAAAAGWGGGAGGYAGGGAYGGAGAGGGAGGCCTGGGCTGCCCGSTGAAAAGGGACCCCATTAAGCATTCTGTGCTCCAAATGTCCAGCTGAGGGTTCAAAGGAGGGCAGAGTCTGGGGGAGGGGAAGGTGGGATTTGCAATTGGGGGCAAAGACATTATTCCTCCCCTTCTTCCTTTGCAGAAAAGAAGTGAGGCTATATGACTTCCCAGGCTCTTGATGCAGGATCGCATTGGTTTTTTCGCTGCTGCGTGACACTCCTGGCTCATGTTTACCTTATGATAATAATAATATATTTATAAATCATAGTATAGCAAAATAATAATTGTAAGACACTTGGAAGTCTGACATGACTTCCCCTGATTTGGACATAACTATCGATACAGGATTGCATTGGCTTTTTTCGCTGCTGCGTGACACTCCTGGCTCATGTTTACCTTATAATAATAATATATTTATAAATCATAATATAGCAAAATAATAATTGTAAGACACTTGGAAGCGTGAAGATCATCAGGATCATCAAGTTTGCAGACGACACCAAATTGGGAGGGATAGCCAATACTCCAGAGGACAGGAGCAGGATTCAAAACGATCTTGACAGATTAGAGAGATGATGGGCCAAAACTAACAAAATGAAGTTCAACAGTGACAAATGCAAGATACTCCACTTTGGCAGGAAAAACGAAATGCAAAGATACAGAATGGGGGATGCCTGGCTCGAGAGCAGGACGTGTGAAAAAGATCTTGGAGTCCTCGTGGACAACAAGTTAAACATGAGCCAACAATGTGATGTGGCGGCAAAAAAAGCCAATGGGATTTTGGCCTGCATCAATAGGAGCATAGTGTCTAGATCTAGGGAAGTCATGCTACCCCTCTATTCTGCTTTGGTTTGACCTGGAATATTGTGTCCAATTCTGGGCATCACAATTCAAGAAAGATATTGACAAGCTGGAATGTGTCCAGAGGAGGGCGACTAAAATGATCAAAGGTCTGGAGAACAAGCACTATGAGGAGCGGCTTAAGGAGCTGGGCATGTTTAGCCTGAAGAAGAGAAGGCTGAGAGGAGATATGATAGCCATGTATAAATATGTGAGAGGAAGCCACAGGGAGGAGGGAGCAAGCTTGTTTTCTGCTTCCTGGAGACTAGGAACTACAAGAGGAGATTCCATCTGAACATGAGGAAGAACTTCCTGACTGTGAGAGCCATTCAGCAGTGGAACTCTCTGCCCCGGAGTGTGGTGGAGGCTCCTTCTTTGGAAGCTTTTAAACAGAGGCTGGATGGCCATCTGTCAAGGGTGCTTTGAATGCAATATTCCTGCTTCTTGGCAGGGGGTTGGACTGGATGGCCCATGAAGTCTCTTCCAACTCTTTGATTCTATGATTCTAAGACAGGCAAAGTCTGACATGACTTCCCTTGATCTCGACACTGCTATTGATGCAGGATCACATTGGATTTTTTGGCTGCTGCAGGACACTCCTGGCTCATGTTTAGCTAATAATAATAATAATAATAATAATAATAATAATTTTATGAATCATAATATGACAAAATAATAATTGCAAGACACTTGGAATTCTGAAGACAGGCGAAGTCTGACATGACTTCCCTTGATTTGGACATTACTATCAATGCAGAATCACATTGGCTTTTTTTCGCTGCTGTGTGACACTCCTGGCTCAAGTTTAACTTATGATAATAATAATAATAATAATAATAATATATTTATATTTTATAATTCATAATATAACAAAATAATTGTAAGACACTTGGAAGTCTGAAGACAGACAAAGTCTGACATGACTTCTATTGATCTGGACACTGCTATTGATGCAAGATCTCATTGGACTTTTTGGCTGCTGCAAACACTCCTGGCTCATGTTTAGCTTATAATAATAATAATAATAATAATAATAATAATAATAATAATAATTTTATGAATCATAATATAACAAAATAATAATTGTAAGACACTTGGAAGTCTGAAGACAGGCAAAGTGTGACATGACTTCCAGCTGATCTGGACATTACTAATGATGCAGGATCGGATTGGCCTTTTTCACTGCTGTGTGACACTTCGGGCTCATGCCAGCTTGTGATGGTAATTATATAATAATGCATATAATAATGCATATAATAATAATAATAATAATAATAATAATAATAATAATAATATAATAATAATAAACTGCTTTGGGTCCCATTAAGGAGAAAAGTGGGATATAAATAATAATAATAATTATTATTAAAATTATTATATTATTATTACTTGGGGACTGCCTGTAACAATAAATAGAAAGCTAAAATATAGAATACAGGGGGAAACAGAATGAAGCAATACTATTATTATTATTATTATTATTATTATTATTATTATTATTAGATACTTGAAATTGAGGCCTGACATGACTTCTCTTGATCTGGACATTTCTATTGATACAGGATTGCATTGGCTTTTTTTTGCTGCTGCATCTCACCCTGGGCTCATGTCCAGCTTATGATGATAATGATATAATAATAATAATAATAATAATATTCATAATATAACACTATAATATAATAAGATAATATAAGAGACATGACATCTGTAGGCAGGTGAGGTCTGACCAAAGCCAAATGGATTATGATGTCCCTTGATCTGGACATTGCTATTGATGCAGAGTCGCATTGACATTATTCGCTGCTGATGTACAGCAAACCATTCAATTTAAAATCACTTTAAACTTTGGAGATGGCCATTGGTCAGAAA